GGTCTCTTACCTAATGTAAAGGTAGCCAAAACAGCAGCAGTAGAAAAATGTGGTATGTTAATCGGGTTCTCCCCGCAGCACATCTAGAAACAACTTACGCGCGCACACACACAGAAGTCCCTCCAGTGCTGCACCACCAGTTGAATCAGGTTTCAAAGTTAACAACCATGTGTTTCCCCTCTATGCCAGCCTCCCTCAGTACAATGCCAGCATGGGCGCACACGGTTTCCATAATAGTCCCAAATATGCAAATATTCCTTTGCCTCGCTAGGTTATCAGTGTGCATGCCACTGTAGGGGTCTGTTCTTAGCCATGAGGCCACGGACGTGCACAACAATCATGACACAAACCATGGAGCCTTAGCTGCATGCTGATTTCACAGTAAATAACTTCTACTTTTTGCAGCTTAATCTGACTATCACTGGCATGTCTCAAAGGAAGCCATTTTACAAGCACACTGCCAGCTGGCCCGAGGCAGATGAGCAGGCTCTGGTATCCGTATGGGGATAGAAGGGTTTCAGGACCAGCTGAATTCAGGCATATTCAACATTCTGGAGTGTGGCCGGGTGGCAGATGGACCAACTGAGGCTGGCACAACGACAGGCAGCAGCTAGTGCCTACAGAGAGCAAAGGAGGCTAGAGTCCCTGTGAGTAAGGACCCAAGACAACAGCAATCACCCCAGTTCAGAAAACGTGCCCCTTTTATGAAAAACTGGAACAAACTCACAACCAGTGCCCCCATCAGCTGAATGTTTGGATGGCCACCCACGAGAGATTCAAATGCCGCCCAGCTGAGTAGCAAAGTGTGTTTTGTTTCTATTCTAACACCAGCAGCAGGGTGTTTCTATTGATGGTGCATAGCCCACATATGCCTCAGTGCACATAACAAAATTTATTCTGCACAGGAATGGAAAAAATTAGAGGGAACACTGCTCAAGATACCCACTCTTCCATGCCCTAGGCACCCTGCAAACAATAGAGAAGTCCCATGCATTACACTAGTGAGGGATAGAGCAGATGCAGGAGAGAAAACCAGTGGGATGAGGAGTTGGATTCATATACTGCCAGGGTACCCGGAATCTGGAGACAGAAGCTGAGCTCAGCTGGAAATGGAGAAGTCAGGAGGCGAGTGGCCCCTCTACAACAAGAATGCAGCATTTTCACTGAAAAATGCATTAGGCCGGGACTGATTTTGCAGTTCTGGAGCTGTGGGAAGAGCTTCCTAGCTTCTTACGGCCACCAGCATGAGTGGGGAAGTGTTTACCTCTACCCCAGCGCTGCCAGTCCCTTCCTTCTTCCACCTCGCCACCACAAAAAGCAACAGTCAAAGCCTCACTACCCTGCCCTCTTTGGATCCCCAATTTTTCTCCAGCATCATATCCCTCTCCCACCCTAAAAAGTACTGACTATTTTTCATCTTCATGGCAGATACCCACTAGTCCACATGGCCGACCACACTATTTGAACAGACTCAAAACGACAAACATACTGGCAGAGGGGGAAAATAGAGGGGAGAGCAACATCCACCACATACACACACACACGTGCAAGATCTTTACTGCAAGAAATTACCAACTGAGCACTAAAGCTAAATCGTTTGCGTTAGCCTGCATGTACCCACCTATGTGCCAAGCTGCAGCATCTAATTTGCAAGCAGCTTGGATATACCTGCTATCAAATTTCATCCTTTCTGTCTTGTCATTTAATGCATGAAAAGCATTCCCAGGCATACTTCCCCAGCCAAGTGAGGCACAAGTAACACGAGTTATGCAATAGGCTGAAATAATTACACCTGACTCTGTCTTGCTGCTCTCAGCCAGACAGCACATTTCTCTGCATCCGTGAGAGAGGCACCAATCCTCTAGAACAGGGGTTCTCAATCTGTGGGCCTGGACACTAAAGTGGGTCAGGGACCCATTTTAATGGGGTCACCAAGGCTGGTGTTAGATTTGCTGGACTCCAGGACCCATGCTGGAGCCCTACTGTCAAGGGTGAAGGTTACGTGGTCCCTACCCAGAGCAGAAGCCCTTGGGTTTCAGCCATGGTCTCCCAAAACCCACCCAGGATGGAAGAGCTTGGTCTTTGGGTGCTCCCCTCTCCCACCTCCTGGGGTCAGGTAGTAATTTTTGTTGGGAGGTCACGGTGCAATGAAGTTTGAGAACCGCTGCTCTAGAAATAAAAGCCCTCATCCAGCAGTCCTCCTACCACCTTGCAAACAAGATTTGGGGGCGACACACATGTCTCTCCACCATCAGAGAGAATCACAGCCTCTCCCGTCATGGATCTGATCCTCCAGCAGTCTTTGTGCAAACAGATCGACTTCAAGTTTAGGTCATCACCACCACCCCCCTCTCAAGAACAGCTTTTCTTTCCTGGATTGAACCCTCCAACAGAGGTGTTCTCAAGGGTCTACTTATAGTGAGTACCTTTCTCCCATTATGGCAGTAATCTTCCATTCTTGTAAGTAAATAATAATATGTCCTTACCATCTCTGGTCGCAGAGGGGAAAAAATGACATGCAAGAAGGCACCGAAATTCTAAACTGGAATTAAAATTGTTACTTTCTATCTCTGCACCTGTGCAAATATAAGATGGAAAAAGGGAGAGGAAAGGAAAGAATTGAGACACAGAGCATATTCAAGCAAGCAATGGACAATCTCCAGAAAAAGAGAAATGGGAATGGGAAACTAACCATTCTACAAGAAGCAGTTTAGAGAATGCCTAAGAGAAAATGCCACTCAGACTCTCGCCGTTCATCACAGCTTCTCCTGCCCAGAATCCGCCCCACCTCTAGGACTGCCTCTTACTCTCCTTTTTCATAACTGTTTACACAACTGTGGAAAAAATAATTGGAACACAAATGAGAGGCTTAATATAGGTATAAAGCAATCCCACTGCTCTACCAATGATTTGTATACATTTTGTTGAGGAAATACTTGGGAGGAAGGAACTGACGAGGAATGAGTCTGTAAGAGCAGACTGTTTGATATTCAAATTGCACGTAGGCTCCCTTTTTCAGAAATGGATGTATTGAACACACCTAAACGAAACAGATGTCAGTCTGACAGCCGTGATTATGCAGGTTAATGATGAATACAAAGCAGAGGGTCCAATGAAAAAATCACTTCACCTACTTCTCTTGCTAATACTTGTACACTAGAGAAAGAGAGAGCGTGCGTAGGTGTGTGCATATAAACGTATTTTGAGACACACATACATGTATGTATACTGAGACGCAAACAAAAGCATGACAATAACGAAAGTATAATCCCGCCACCAAATAGTCAGAAAAGAATATTTTGTATCAGCTGCTGGTCTACTAAGACACCAACTAAAAGAGAACTATGCAGAGTATTCGACTTACTCAAGGTAATCAGTCACAGGGAGCAGATTTCCTTCTCACTGTCTGGTGCTGCAGCACCGAGGGTTAGCTCAGCACAGAGGTATTAAACAGATCCCAAACCCAAAATCTAGACCCAAAGACTATCCTCAAGTATTGCACATAAAGGCTTCGCTTCTTCAGGGATTGGGGCTGGCTGCATACATTTCAGCAGACACTGATTTCAGTCTTGAGTTCTCTACAAGAAGACCAAAGGACAGACCACCTTTCACCATCTTTCCCAAGGTGTTTAGCAACTGTTGTTTCTAAAGCTCCAAAAGACATGGTCCTTGCTGGGCAAAGGAGGAGAGCCAGCCTGTGTTTTGATAAAACACAAAAGAAATGGCACCATAGCTTAGGGGTCTGTGCGGCCACTCACCACTGTAGTAGTTCTATATAATCTATTATGTGGAAAGTAAAGTATTACACCCACTTTTGCCAAAGGGTGTCAAGGAATCTCTTGGGCTTTTCCCTTGGGGTTACTTTAAAATGCTCTGCTTTAGGAAGGGTGTCTCTCTTTTTTTTTTTTTTTTTTGGAAGGGCTAATAGGGAGAGGGAGGGGAGCAGCTGATGCTCTGATACACACATTTCTGAAAAAGCTGATCTGGTTATGAAGTCAAAGATTTATCAGAACGGAAGGTTTCCCAGCATTTTCTAAAGCAAGTCAAATTTTGGATTCCTCTCATTGCCTCAAAGTTTTTCAATGCCCTCAAATGAAATTACTTCATCCCCGTTCTCATGCACACTTACTGTCCCAGAGCAGCTCAGCCATCTGTGGCTTGTAGACAGTGTTCCCTGTAAGATGCGTGCTTGTGCAGTCACACAGGAGAAATGCAGATTCCACCGGGCTGATTAGCAGAGCACCCACAGCTAGGTTTTGTGTTTCTCTTGGTGATACATATTTGCACATGTCTCAGTGCATAAATGGGAAAAAAAATCCACAAATGGATGGAAAAGATGAACGGGAACATCGCTTGTAGATGGCGATGGGGGTCTCTGACAGAGTTGGGATATGATTCATCACTTGTTCCAAAATTAGGATCAAAGACCTAGAATGGCAGTGGATAAAGGACGGAAGCCCATGCAGGAAAAGAAGCAGAGGTCTGATGGGCTCAAGGCAGAATAAGGCACGTCTGTTTTCCAGCTGAAGCCTGTGCACGGTTTTCTCAAACTCACTGCTTCAGATACTGCAAGCTACAGTTATCTATCCTGCAGATGACACAAGCCTGGATCCTTGAGGCTACATCCTCATCCACCAGGAGTTTGCTAGCAAGCTGAAAATGAAAGTGGCACTTTCACTTTTCACTGCTACCTGCCCATCCAAGTTCAGTAACAAGTCCAAGAGGACCCAAAACTTTGCACCACTTTGAATGAGAGCTATACATCTTCTGAAGAAAGAAAGAGTCAGAGAAGTGGATAGCTCTTCAAATGGTTTCCCAGCCTCCTCCCTGCTATCCAGCATAACCGCTGATCTTGCCTAGGTTGATTTTATGCCAGCTACTCTTCATCCAGGAGCTGACCTTTTGTAGGTATTGTGGCATCTTATTTGTGTCAGTGGTAGCAACAGTGGAGAATGAGATATACAGCCAGCTGTCATCAACAGACAGTTTGTTTGTTTTTTCAAGGGAAAGCACAAACACAGTCCCCCACTACCACAAATTATGCAGTCGAGTTTCCAGCATTTGGGGAAATCGCAAGGGTCAGCACACCCACAAGTGCAATGAATGAGCCTCACCCTGGGAAAACCACCTTCATGATCATGGTCTCTCTCCCTTGCCAGGAAAGTATTTGGCAGCCGAGACCATAACCTTGAAGTCTCTTTCCAAGCGGTCACAGCAGTAGAATCCACCCATTCAATGTGAGGGTGGAACTGAGTTTTACTACTGATTAGCCCAATCAGAAATGCTGTTTGTGCAATTTTTGAAAGTGGTTACTATAGGTTGAATCTCTCTAGTCCAACACCCTCGAGACCCGACCAGTGCTGAACCAGAGAATTTGCCAGACCACGGCAGGTCAATATTATCTAGCTGCATTACCATTTTCTAGCTGCATTTTCAGATTGGAGAGAGGTAACTAGTGGTGTCCCCCAAGGGTCAGTCCTGGGACCAATCCTTTTCAACTTATTCATAAATGATCTGGAGAAAGGGGTAAGCAGTGAGGTAGTAAAGTTTGCAGATGATACAAAACTGTTTAGGATAGTCAAGACAGAAGCAGACTGTGAGGGACTCCAAGAAGATCTCACCAAACTGAGTGATTGGGCAGCAAAATGGCAAATGAAATTTAATGTGGATAAGTGTAAAGTAATGCACATCAGGAAAAATAACCCCAACTATACGTACAGTATGATGGCGGCTAATTTGGCTCCGACAAATCAGGAAAGGGATCTTGGAGTGATCGTGGACAGTTCTCTAAAAACTTCCACGCAGTGTGCAGCGGCGGGCAAAAAGGCAAATAGGATGCTAGGAATTATTAGGAAAGGGATAGAAAATAAGACCCAGAATACCTTACTGCCCCTGTATAAAACTATGGTACGCCCACATCTGGAATACTGTGTACAGATGTGGTCTCCTCACCTCAAAAAAGATATTTTGGCCTTGGAAAGGGTTCAGAAAAGGGCAACTAAAATGATTAGGGGTTTGGAACGGGTCCCATATGAGGAGAGGTTAAAGCAACTGGGACTTTTCAGTTTAGGAAAAAGGATACTGAGGGGGGATATGATAGATGTCTATAAAATCATGAGTGGTGTGGAGAGGGCCGATAAAGAAAAGTTATGTATTAGTTCCCTAAATAGAAGAACTAGAGGAAACCAAATGAAATTAATGGGTAGCAGGTTTAAAACGAATAAAAGAAAGTTCTTCTTCACACAGCGTGTAGTCAACCTGTGGAACTCCTTGCCAGAGGAGGCTGTGAAGGCTAGAACTATAATAGAGTTGAAAGAGAAGCTAGATAATTTCCTGGAGGTTAGGTCCATAAAAGGCTATTAGCCAGGGGATAAAATGATGTCCTTGGCCTCTGTTTGTCAGAGGCTCGAGAGAGATGGCAGGAGACAAATCACTTGATCATTGTCTTCAGTCCACTCTCTCTGGGGCACATGGTGCTGGCCACTGTCAGTAGACAGGATACTGGGCTAGAAGGGCCTTTGGTCTGACCCAGTATGGCAGTTCTTATGTTCCACTGCTTACTGGGCTGTTAGAAAACAGTTAGGGGTAAAATGGCGCTAAATAACAGCACAGAGCCAGGATTGGTGGCTGTAAACAAACTTTATAGGACTATGGGAAGCTTGGTCACACCCATGATAAATGGACATCTGCCTAAGTAAAATAATGCCGAACCACGGATGTTACCAAACCAGAGTGTGCCGGGAAAAAAAAGCCAACCTGTACTAACACAATCACTTTGAAGTATTCTGTAATTTTATTATTTAGGAAATATGATATCTACCACATTTTTCAACAATTTCCACAATACTGTAGGACAGATACTTCAAGATATGGAGGAAGCCAAAATCTTCCTAAAATAAACAAGGTACTGTTATTCTTAGGGTGCCACTCATTTGCAATGTGGCTGGCTTAACCTTTAGCACAGCACTCACATCGGTTTCAGCGCCAAAACACTTAAAATGAAATGATCAGAATTAGTTATTCTGCAAACAATGAGAATGGAATCTAATCACAAATTGAAATCAATCATAAAGCTACAAAGACTACAAAAAATGTCGCGCTAACACAAGGACATAGTGAAAAAAAGTGAATAAACATGAGAATAATGGAAATTATTCCTACAAGTGTTTGAAATAGTGTGTATTTAAATCTGATTTTAAAATAATCACTTTGTACAAAAGCAGAACCAAACACTGAAGGTACATTAAACAAGAAACTGTTCTAATATTTCTGTTAGGAGTAAATACAATGTGAATGGATTTGACAGACCTACAGCAGAACTCTTAAGCGCAAGACATTACTGGAACAAATGATCAAAGTCAGCACCAGAACTCTGCATTGCACATCAGGTCAAAAACATTGGTCATTTATTTTAAAAAGATGGAAGCAGAAGGGTACAGTTAGTGCCTGGACTTTGGGTGGTATAAAACAATGAGATACAAAGCTTTGTGCTGTGTATTTCCTGCATTTGTAAGAGAGGCTGGGACATAATTTCTCTCTTTACCCTTTCTTCTATCTTTATCTCTTTTCCCTCTAGGGCTTTCCTCTCTGTTTCCAAAAAGAAGTCAGCAAAATAAAGCTTAAAGAATACACTAGGCATTATATTTTTAAATTCACTAGATACAAAATTCTGTTTTAGAACAAGGCTCTTGTGTGTGGGTGTGCATCTCTAAAATGAAAGGCATTGTTACTCCACTAGACATGAATCTATATCCAGTGATCAAATCAAGCCTGAAATTTCTGTTTTGACAGCTACTTGAAGAGTTATATTTTCACCAGACTTTTAGATGAATACTAGATGTTCAGAGATATATCAAAAGACAACTCAAAACTGATATTTGCAGACAGTGTGATATAAGCAACTGTGAAAAAGTTTCCATGCCTGAAATGCGTATTTTATATTTCCCAACCATTTTGTTCCTTCCTAGAATTAGCTGGCCATACCTAAAATCTCATTATAGATACAATTAATCTTGCCTGTGACATGCTATTTTGGAATTTATTTTAATTATATCATTAAATTATTACTAACAGAAAGTAAAGAGTCTGTTTCCAAATAATATTTATAAACTATCTCTGTATGACACAAAAATGTGCAACCCTAGTTAGGTACTTGTGACTAGGAAGACTGTGAACACAATAATGTTTTACTTTTAGAAGTTAATGTACAGAAAACCTCTTCAAATAAATAATATTCCTGTCTTAGTAAACATTTAATACAACTACTCAAATAAGCTTACATAATATGATTGTCTAAGTGCAATGAAGCCATTCATTCTATTCTTTTTGAATAATTAGGGTCTGTTTTATTTTTCTGTATAATAGACTCAGATTATTACAGTAATCACGAAGTTCTCTAGTTTTACACTTTCAAAGGGAAGATCAGAGAGTACTAAAAACGTTACCATTATGCAAACATACTGCACACGCTATTTACAAAAACAGTCATCTAGACAATTAAACATTTAGCATAGCCGCTGCTGTTTGTTTTAAAGCTGTACCTCTCTCTCCACCCCCATACACACACCTCTGCATGCAGCATAAACCTACCTCTGAAAGATTTTTTTTCTCCACTACTTTCCAGAATTATTCTGTCTGAAAACATATTAACCTAGAGGTCCATTAGTCTCCCCTGTTCTTAATGTACACCAGCATAGCATCATTTTTTGAAGAGCCATATTTGTGTTTTTATTTTCCGAGATAAAAAAAGATGACCAAGGTTAGATAACAATAAGTGGCAAGCATAAAGAGGATTAAAGTAACTGGTGTCCTTACATAATTCAAAGTCAAATATGTTTGGTATTGCTGGCAAAATGGCATTCTGAGTCAACAGCTTGGTTTAACAGTTACATTATAAAAATAGTATGTTGATATATTTATGTAAATTAGAATTGGGCGCTCCTGTGGAAAATCATGGCCCTGGTTAGTTCCTTCTATGATTGCCCACACACACACACACACACACACGCTGTGTAGCAGTGCTCCAGCTTTGTATTAAAAAACACAGAACACCTGAGGTAGGCTTCCGGTGTTCCAAACAAAAGTTATTCTTAAAAATCGACACATTTGTCACACACTACACTGCATTGCCACAATCGGGATCCCCGCAAAAAACTACCGGGATTGGCTCGGCCCGGCAATCAAGACGAGCAGGAGCGTTTCATTGCCAACAATAAGCTTGCCTGGTACACCACAAGTGGCACGATCGTTTCCAGCGGCGCGTGGGGTCCTTTAAGGATGCACTTACTTTGTAGGACCAGCCAGGCGATCCCCAGTGGGAAAGCACCCTAAGCAAGGAGCCCTGCATCCAGCCTGTTACAAGCCTGAAACAGTTCCCCAAGGAGGTGGTAGAATCTCCATCCCTAGAGGTTTTTAAGCCCTGGCTTGACAAAGCCCTGACTGGGATGATTGAGTTGGGATTGGTCCTGCTTTGGGCAGGGGGGTTGGACTCGATGACTCCTGAGGTCTCTTCCAGCCCTGGGATAAACAAACACTCATCCCCACCCCCGCTTTCAATCACACACACTCACTCACTCCCAGCCCTGAGCACCCAGGGACCAAGCAGGAGCCAGGGAAGCCCTGGCTTGACAAAGCCCTGACTGGGATGATTGAGTTGGGATTGGTCCTGCTTTGGGCAGGGGGGTTGGACTCGATGACTCCTGAGGTCTCTTCCAGCCCTGGGATAAACAAACACTCATCCCCACCCCCGCTTTCAATCACACACACTCACTCACTCCCAGCCCTGAGCACCCAGGGACCAAGCAGGAGCCAGGGAAGAAAGCGGGGAAAGGCGAAGGCAGCCGCAGCGGTGCCCGGACACCAGCCGAGCGTGCGGGGCAGCTGCTCTCCCCCCTTACCTGTCTCCCGCTGCCGGCTGTGCGTGTGGCTCGCGGGTGCTCCCCAGGAAACGCAGTTGAGGTTTGCACCGCAGCTAATGTTTGCACCGCATCCCCCCCCCACCCCCCGCGCGCGCGCC